GCCTGGGGCCTCGGAAGCTTCTTCTGCGGTTCCCACCCTTGACCTCTGAGGAACGTGGAAATCTCCTGCCCTTTGTTTGACCTCTACCACCCCTGTGGTTCTTCTTCTCAGATGCGAACTTCTCCAATGGGCCCATTCTCTCCAATTTCTGCTGCATGGGGCATTGCCCTCAGCACTGGCTCTTTCCCGCCAGCATTTCTATAGCTCAGGCGCGTCTTATCTCCCTGCACACTTCTGGTGTGGGCGGCCAGCTGCAGAGTCGCTGCCACCGGCCTTTGTCCCTGTAGATCTAGTTCTCTCGTGTCCCTTGCTGGAAGCCGTAATAATGGGACGGTGCCCTATCACCCTTGCCATCCTGATAATTATCGACCACATGCCCCTTCACTCTCCAAAGCACCTTGTTTTGGAGGACAAGTTCGATGCTTAGTTTCACCCTTACTGCCCTGCCTCACCGTCACAGAAACCCAAGAGTCATACCAGCCCTCCCTCCGCCACTCTCCCCGGTCCTCCACAGTCACCATGTGCGCATGCTCCTCCCCTGCCCCTTCTTACCCCGGATGAGAGAATCTGCCCCGTCTTTCCGGGGCTGCTCTAACCAGCCTTACTCTGGGTGTCAGGAGCTCTGTGTCCCGCCTCCACTAATCATTTTGTGACCAGAGGAGCCCCGATTTTTCTGCTCTGTGTGTAAAGAGAAGGATGGGAGGTGGGCTAGTTAGCTCCGAGGTCTCTTTGAGCACGGAGAATCTGAGATGCCACCACCTGTGTCCCGACTTATTTCCCTGCTCTGGGCCCGTGAGGGCAAGAAGGTGGCCCCCAGGGGGCAGCAACACAGACACTGCGGGCCCAGGGTGGTATGGGGCTATGTCCGCCCCACCCAGGAGGAGGAGGCTCAGAGTCACCTGCTTTCTGGGAAGGAGAAAGGAGCCAAGCCTGCCTGGAAACCTGAGGGACAGCAGGACTCCTTGTTCCTTCTCTCTAATGCAATGCACATTCCCCCACTTAAAGGCAATTTCTTCACTTCAAAAGGATTCCAGCTGGTGAAATTCAAGGTGAAGAATAAGCCTCAGTCAAGAAGCTTCTCAGGGTCCTTTCAGTTTGCATCGTCTTCAGAGGGATGCATTTTAAGACATTTGCCTCTTAATATTTGTCAAAGCACCCGGAGAGAAAGCTTCTTATTTCGACACCTCTCAGCTCTCAGGGCTGTTGGCACAGGAACCGTCCACATTTCCCTGCACAACTTTGCCTTTTGGGAAACCCACTGGACTTGTCTCCTGGCTTTCCCTTTCCCAGCCCTCAGCCCCCACCCACCCTGGGTGGATGAGAGACTAGGGCTGGCTTCAGGGTCCACCAGGCTCACCTGGACACCCAGGGGCTTAAAAGGCAAACCGTGGAACTCACACATCTCACGTTCACATTCCAGGAGGTGTCCTTCCACCTGCCATTCATTCATTCTCTACTCACTCACCTGGTCATGGGGTCTGCAATGCTGGAAAGGGGCTGTGGGGGGTGTGTGTCTTACTTTCCTAGAGCTTATACACTGGTCAAGGCTCTGGGAGATAGAAATAAGCAACCACAATACAAGCCAGAGGAAGTAAACACTAAATCTGGTGGGTAGGGGATATTTAAAAAGCTCAGAGAAAGAGACCAGCCAGGGATGAGGAGAGGGGTAAGAGGGAGGCAGTCAGGGAAGGCTTCTTGGAAGAAGAGGCATTTTGGTGCAGGCAGGGTATCCCAGAATGCAGGATCCACATATGGGCAGTGGCCTGAGCAAAGGTGTGCAGGCAGGAGGACCTCTGGTAGGCACAGAGGCACTGTCCCAGGCCCACTGCACCCCTCCTTCCAGGGCCTTGGGGCTTGCTTGGTGATGGTGGGGGGCTCCCAAGGCATGCCCCACCAGCACCTGCTGCTTTGGTAGCATTGCTTTAATCACCTTCGAAACAAGGCACTTGTTTCTTACCTGCCTGCCCTTTCTTACCAGGCCCTGGGCCCAGAGGAAATGCTTTTGACCCTCTTCTCTGTCACTAAGGGCCCCCCCTGCCTGCACTTTTGAGGGACCCTGTTCCCAGGATAGCATCCGCTTATCCAGTTGCTCTCTGTAGGTGTTTTCTCCCTCTACCCCTTCAGGGAAGATCTACCCACCCTCTCATTTCCCATTGTCCCTGGCCTGTCTCCCCCTCTTCATCACCCCCCTCTGTAGCAACCACTGCTTCCTGTCCCAGGAAAGCTTCATTCAGCAAGCCCTCCCAACACTACCGGCACCCTGATGTCTCCCCTGAGAGCCATTGCCACTAGTCTGGTGGTCAAGCCTTTGGAGGTGGGCAGACCTGGCTCTGCCACTTTCCAGCTCTGCACCTGCTCTGATTAATTCCTTCTACAGGAACTTCTCTTGTTTTTCTGACCCAATATCTTTTCCCTCTTCTGACAACTACCACCTTGATTCTCCTTTGGAGGAACCATCCTCTTCTGCTCTCAGCCTTTGGAGATTTAATGGGGCTACCCACGGTCATCAGTTCAAGCATAAGCATGTGATCTAAGCAGGACAAATTCTGGGATTTTTAATGGTTGAAAAGCCTCAAATCTATTCCCACTGGGATTGATAAACTAGTAACACAAATCTGAAACTGATGGGGTTGTCTTTGCCACCACAAGGAAAGAGTCTATTTACACATAAAACCAGCATGGAAAAAAGTAGAGAAAAGGGAAAAATAGATTTCTGGTGATGTTGTTTGGGCACCTGGATCCAACCATGCCTGAAGCTATCCCTGGAGTTTTCAGTTTGTGACCCAACAATTTCTTCCCTCTTTGGCATAAGCCAGTTGGAGCTGGCTTTTGTCACTTGCCAGTAACTGTCTCAACTAAAGAAATACTTCACTTGCAGACTTGATGAAAACTTTAAATGAAATGACACATGACTAATATCCAGCATTAATGTGGGTACCACTCGATTGGTTTTTTTTTTTTTTTGAACTCTAACTGAATCTGCCTTATCAAGCATCAGTTAAATTTCCAAAAAACGTCAGGTTCTATAGTAGTAGAATATTACTTTTCTTCCTTTTTTTCCATCACTTTGACCAACTTTTTCTTTGTGAAATCCCTACCCTCCTTGGCTTTCTTAACACAGCTCTGTGTCCCTCATAAGTCTCCAGGTTTTCTCCCCCATCCCGCCTCTGGACTGAGACAGGGTGGGAAATTTCATGACCTGTTGGGGGTGACCTCTTCTCTGCATTCCATGCCCACACCCCAGGACAATCCATGTGGACCAAGCTGAATCAAATATGGACTTCCCAAGCTTGCTTCAAACCAAGTACACCAGGTACTCAGAAAAGTCTACACTGCCATCTAGTGGACACCTGCTATAATATCATGCAGAATTTGAGAATCCCTCCTGGGACAGTCACTGGGCTACGAAAGTATTTTGGTTCCACCTCATTACTCCTTCAGTGGCGGAGCCAGGGACAAGTACATTAATGGCGAAGTCGAGCATCTTGTCACAGGAGCAGCATTATACTCTCCCTAAAGGACTGGGCTCCTGCCCTGCTTCTGCAGCCCTCCATGTCCTGTTCCAAGTGTTAGAATCTTACTTAGTGGCCTATGTCTCCTCGGCTTCTCCCACATGTCCACCGGTGTGACCCAGGCCACGGGTCTCCAGGGAGGAGGGCTGACAGGTGCATGTGTGCACGTGCGTGTGCATGCATGGTCACATGCGTGAGCCTTGGCAGGGTTGAGGGAGAGGAGACCCAGAAGGCCTCCTCATTGCTTGCTTGCTTAGCCTCCCAGAGGAAAGGATGTTTGTCACGGTGGCAAACACGATAGCCAGTCAAAGCTTCGTGTTCCCAATCCGATAAATTGTGGAACACATCGCAGTCTATTGGTTCCGTGATAGTGAAAACAGTTCCAGAAAGAGAGAAAAAAGATCTACCCTCCACCTCTGAGGAACCTGAGATCCCCACCCCAGAACTTGCTATTTTGTTGTGTTTGTCCTGGCCGCCATCAGGCCTGAGCAGCAGCAGCACTGCGAGTCCCCAGGCCGGACGGAGAGAGAGAAAGAGCCGGCAGGGGCCTCCCCTTTCCGCAGCGCACGGAGGGGACCGGAAGACTGTGTGCATGGTGTGCATGCAGTCACATCCTGACCGTGGCCCTTCTGTCTCCACCCATCTGTGGCCTGGTTCCTGGACACATCGTGGTCCTTGTACGCAGGTTGCCCCGGGCACCTCCTAGTAAAACACGGCAGAGGAAGCGAGAGCCGCCCTCCACCACGGACATTCCAGGGGCTCAGTGTGGCCCAAGGGTCGAGGAAGAAAGGAACAGCGACGAGAACACTGGAGCAGCGCCCCCAGGACCTGGCCTGGCTGCTGGAGGGAGCGGCCACAGTCCCTCTTGCTACTCACATGGCCCTTCCCCAGGCTACCGCATCCCCAGACTAAGGGAAGCTTCCAGAACAAGATAGTACTAGTCATTTCCTAGTAGAAAGAATACTTACTTCCAATTCCTAAAAATGCTTCAATCTTCTATTTCAGACAAGTGTGAGCAAACTCTTAGGTGGGTTTCATACTGCAATGACGGAGTCAAGATGCACTTCTCTGCTTGCTTAGCCTACGTGAGAAGCACTGTCCATGACAAACCATCTCCTCCGCATTCAGAAGATCATTCCGAATGCCCAGCCACCTCGCACCTTGAGAAAGGACTCCCTCTCTCCTCCTTTTCTCTGCTGACTCCAAAGCACACACCAGCTGGTCTCCACATACACTGAGGAGCCAGGCTCCTCCGCGAGCAGGCAAAGGCCCCAGCGGAGCAGCCCCAGAGTCCTGCTAAAGCTCCCAGTCTGCAGTGCCCCCCCAACCTCCCCCAAGGCCATGGGGCTGCTCTCAGGAGGGCACATTGCTTGTGGCATCTGTGGTCTACCCAACCCAGATGGCCCTGCACATGGCTTCAAGTCACCTAGATGAGCACGCTCAGAGGGAAACCAAGCCTCCTCCTCCAGGCCAGGCTTGCTCACTTACCTCCAAGGCCCCAGGGAACTTGACTAGGGGCTCAGCCCAGTGGGTGATCTTTTGTCTGTAGTTGTTACAGTCAGGAACAAACATGCAGCCAATGTTCCCCAGCTCTGGGTAGAAAACTTCAAGTCCCCTATGGAGATAGGGAGATGGTCAGCCCATGTCAGTCCTAGGGGAGCCTGGAGGGCTCACACACTTCAGTCTAGCACCGTTGAGAATGTGGAATCAAGTGGGATTGAATCCTAGGCCTGCTACGAACTAGTTGTGGTCACTTAACTAGTGTGACCAGTGTGGTTTAAGAGTTACTTGACCTCTTGTTGCTTCAGTTTGTTCACCTGTAAAATGGGGACACTGACAGTACCTACTTACAGCGTTGGTGTGAGGAGTAAAGTAGGCGATCAATGTTTACAACAGAGCCAGCGTGTCATCAGTGGTCAGAAGGTGTTAACTGTCATCTGTATTTACTTCTCAGAAAGAATGTACATCCTTAGGCAAACCTGGTCAGTGTCTTTAAAGTAGGATTGGGTTTATAAGAACAAAATTTACACATTGCTTTCCAGGAATGTTTTCTTTACACGAAGGAAGGTTTAGCAAGTGAGCACAGCCTTCTTCATGGGTACAGGCATTTGTCAACCCTGAACAATCCAGATCTTCTCCATGTCTGCGATCCTCACTGGTAGTTCCATAGGCCACATCTTTGGGTCAAGCCTTGCCCAATAATCTAGGCTCTCGACATACCATTCCCTGCACTTTCAAAATGCAAATGTCTCCTAGGAGGTAGACTATCTGGTCACTAAGACAGTAGTTATGAATTCATTTGTCTGCTTTTTCCCTGCAAAGAGCTGAACAGCACGAATGCTCTGAGAATCCGGCTCACTGGGAGGGCTGTTCCCAAAACTCCACCAGGGTTAGCCTTAAGGGCTCACCTGTAACCAAAACTCAGGGACGTAAACCAGGCTGTCAAATAGACATTTAAAAAAAACCAAAATCTTTGTGCCAACTGTTTTTGTTTTTGTTTTTTTTTAATTTGCTCTTCCTCTCTGTCCCACTGTCATTTTTTTATCACCTAGACCCGGGGTCTCTGTAGGGTGCATTTGGTTAAGATGATTCACTTGACAGAGAAGGGGTGGGTCCTCAGCCTTTGCCAGAAAGCCCAGCGTGGCTGAGCAGCTCCACGGCCCGCC